GGACCATGCTCTACCATGTGATTTTTCCACTAAAATATAATAATATTTTACAATTACATTACTATTTCATATTCTAGTTAGCATAAATTATAATGTTACGTGTATTTAATTTATAATAGTAAGAATTCTATCCTTTTTATATATTCATTGTTAATTTAAATATCGTTATACTGTTATTTGTTCGAAGCTTTTTGTAAAATTAAATGGTATAATTATAATGTAATTCATGTTTAATATCAATTTGTAATTAATTGATTAGATGTAATTAATTGATTACATTGTACTTAATCATATATAGTTTTTGTCGTACTTGAATTGTATTTAAGTTAGAATGTGGACCATCGTCTACATAATTATATTCCATTACGTATTAAAGTTGTGCAAAGTGATTTTTTTTTTTTTTTTTTGTTATGTGTACTGAATTGTTTCGAGTTATAATTATTGGAATTAGTTCTTAATTTGATGGTATATTTTAAATCACAGCAAATCATTTCGGTGGCTCATCTTGTACGAATAATATGCTCAAGATCAAGACCAACGTACGACAGCTAATCCTTACACAAATCCCAGCGAGGATGTTTCTCTGAATATATCACACCATTGAGTAACATCACTACCGGTAAATGCCCTAAGCTGAATTGCTATAGACTCATTGTGAATTTAATTATAATCTAACTCATGGTACATATAAGTATGTGTGGATTTTTGGCTGATATATGATTTATTTTGGAATCTCAATTTCTAATTTTTTGTTAAAATAGTTTCATTTGTTTTGATATGTGTAATTAATTCCATAGATTCTACTTAGTGAAATACACTTTTTTCTCTTTTATTTCTATTAATGGTGAACATATTATTGTGGACCATGGTCTACCATGTGATTTTTCCACTAAAATATAATAATACTTATACAGTTAAATTACTATTTCATATTCTAGGTTACCATAAGTTATAATGTTAGGTGTATTTAATTTATAGTATTAAGAATTCTATCCTTTTTATGTTACTACGTGCTACCAAATTATTTTTTTTTTACAGTACCATAAAATGTAGTGGTTTCAATTATTTGTCACTTTAAATATTGTTATTCTTTAAATTTGTCTAATATTATGTATGTGTACAGTACAGCAATCCAATACACAAATAGGAGATGAATTTGCAATTCGTAAACCATTAGATAAATATGCAATTGTCGAAGACCAGGTAACAACCAGAGACTTGCTACCTGCCTTTGAAGATGAAAGTAACAATGCGGTGAGCGATGTCCCAAATCAGAACATAGCTGGTACTAAAATACTACCCTGTGGTGTTTCAAACAAATATAAGTAAAGTACATATGGTCAGTCTTTCAATATTAAAAATAATTTTTAAATGTTTTTTAATTTCATATGCAAATTTATCGGGTGACGCTGTAAGGCAGACCTCGGGAATTGGGACATCATTTGGTCCACAAAATGGTATGTATGTTTGTTTGTTTTATATATACAGCAAATATAAATCAGTATTTAAATTTGTATATATTTGGTTTCAGGTCAATACTGCGATTTTGGTGATGCAACAAATCAGTGCGTACATTGTGGGGCTATGTTTTGGTTTGAAGAAAGGAAGAAAAATTGTCAACAAAAGCATCGCCACTGTTTATGTTGTGTTGCAACAATGGGAAGATCAAATTGCCGGATAATAAGTTGCCACCAAAAGGTATATTTGATCTCTTTTTCGGCAATGACGAATTATCAAAAGAATTTTTACACAACATTAGGACCTACAACAACATGTTCTGCTTCACATCCATGGGTGGAAAAATTGACAAGAACGTGAACAAGGGTGGAGCACCTCCAATTTTTCGATTAAGTGGTCAAAACTACCACCTAATGGGCACTTTACTTCCAGAACAAGGCAAAGAACCTCATTTTGCCCAGTTATACATATACGACACGGCAAATGAAAGGAACAACCGTATAAATGCTGTGAGGTAAAGAAGTTTCCGTAATTACACATTTGAATACTATTTTTTATCTAAATAAATATCAATTCCAAGTATATGTTGTTGTAGGGGTATTGGTGACCAAGATGACATTCATGTAGAAATAGTGAATGTCATTCAGAAAGACCTGGATGAAAATAATGTCTTGGTTAAGTCTTTTCGCATGGCTATGTCTGAGTTGGATATTAATCCATGCGCCGAAGTAAAAATAAAGTTGTTGGGAAAACGAACTAGAGATGCTAGGACATATAATCTGCCTCAAGTGTCTGAAGTAGCAGCTTTAATCGTTGGCGATCTGGATACCAGTATTGAAGAGCGTGATATTATTGTTCAATCGAAGGGTGGCCAACTACAGAGGATTACTGAATTAAATCCTTCATACTTACCACTGCAATACCCTATTCTGTTTCCATATGGCGAAGATGGTTATCGGGAGGACATTGCATTCGCCGACGTAGTCGGCAAGCGCTCTTCTGGTGGTAGACAAAGGATTAGCCCCAGGGAGTTTTTTTGCTACCGCATACAATCTAGACAGTCAGCTCCAAGTACCATATTATTTGCAAAGTGGTTGTTCCAACAATTCGTTGTAGATGGCTACACAATGGTTGAGTCTGGAAGACTAATTTATATAAGGACACACCAAAAAAGCCTAAGGTGTGAGAGTTACAGTGGACTGACTGATGCTTTGACGAGGGGTGATTTAAGCCCTGCAGCCCAAGGTCGTAGAATAATACTACCTTCGAGTTTTACGGGTGGTGCTAGATATATGATACAAAACTACCAAGATGCAATGGCAATATGTAGATGGATTGGATACCCAGATTTATTTATAACCTTTACATGCAATCCGAAGTGGCCTGAGGTGCAACGGTTTTTAAAAGATCAAAGGTTGAAGCCAGAAGACCGGTCGGACATAATTTGCCGCTTATTTAAGATTAAGTTGGATGCTTTGATAGCTGATTGTCGAAAGAATCAACTATTTGGCCCTGTTGCCGGAGGTAATATTTTGTTATTGTATTTTAAATCAATTAATCTAAATAAATTTTATGTAATTGCTTAACCTTATTATGTTTATTTGTATGTTGTTACAGTCATATATACAATTGAGTTTCAAAAGCGAGGTCTTCCGCATGCTCATATATTGCTTTTTCTGGAGAAAAGTAAAGAAGTTAGGCAAGTTCTCACTCTAGACAACATAATTTCAGCAGAGATTCCCGATGAAAAGAAAGATGCTGAGTATTACCAGGCGGTAGAGGAATTTATCATGCATGGTCCATGTGGAAAAGCCAGGACAAATTCTCCATGCATGGTAAATGCACGATGCTCTAAACATTTTCCTAAGAGATTTGTTGATAGTTCTACGTTTGATGACGATGGTTACCCGGTATATAGAAGGAGAGACAATGGCAGTGTAGTTACAAAGAACGGGATCGCCTTGGACAACAGGTATGTGGTACCGCACAATAGATATTTATTGCTCAAGTACAAGGCTCATATAAATGTCGAGTGGTGCAACCAATCAAGGTCAATAAAGTACCTGTTCAAGTATGTTAACAAGGGTCATGATCGAGTAACAGCAGAATTTTACAAAACAGGCAATGATGACGAGAATGGCAAAGCAGTAGATGAGATAAATATGTACTATGACTGTAGGTACATATCCCCGTGTGAAGCGGTCTGGCGTCTGTTTGGGTTTGATATACAACTTCGTGCGCCTTCGGTAGAGAGGTTAAGCTTTCACCTTCCTAATCAACAGAGTGTGATATTTGCAGATGATGATGCAGTTGAGAACATTGTGAATAGACCTACGATAGCACAGAGCATGTTCTTAGAATGGTTCGAAGCTAATAAAACATACCCCAATGCCAGAGAGCTTACTTATGTTGAGATGCCAACAAGATTCGTTTGGAAGAAAGACCTTAGAAAATGGCAGCCACGAAAGAAAGGGTTCTCCATAGGACGTATATTCTATGTCCCTCCAGCTACTGGTGAAATCTTCTATTTGAGGTGTTTGTTGAACAAAGTACGCGGCCCTAAAAGTTACGAAGATATTAGGACTGTAAATGGAGTCCAATATGACTCATTTAGAGATGCGTGTTATGCAAGGGGTTTAGTTGATGATGACAACGAATATGTTGATGCAATAGATGAAGCCAGTAGTTGGGCGTCAGCAGATCAATTGAGGAGATTGTTCGTGACATTACTAATGAGCAGTTGCATGGGGAAACCGGAAATAGTTTGGCATGCCGTTTGGCAACATCTATCAGACGATGCCCAATACAAAATCCGTTCACAACTGCAGAACAGAGGTAATCGTACATTTTTTTTAAGACTATTAAGTCCAGTTTAAAGTATTTTGGTTATAACAACAAATTTTTATATATATTTATGCAGATTTTGTGTTGACCGATTCCCACAAAATGAACTTTGCTTTAGTTCAGATTGAGAACTTATTATCTAATCATGGTAAGAGTTTGAAGGACTATCCTGAGATGCCAACGGCCAATTTTGGTGCGTTACATATTATTGCAAATAGGTTGATTCAAGAAGAATTAGCATACGATCGTGGCGAACAGGAGAAAGAGAACCAAGAATTGGTAAGGCAGTTAACAGACGAACAAAATGCAATATACAATGAAGTTTTAACTGACGTGGATCGCCAGGAAGGTGGGTTATTCTTCGTTTCTGGTTATGGAGGGACAGGTAAGACTTTCTTGTGGCGAGCACTTTCTTCCGCATTAAGGTCTAAGAGTCAAATAGTTTTAAATGTTGCTTCTAGCGGCATAGCTTCGCTGTTATTACCTGGTGGCCGTACGGCACATTCCCGGTTTGCTATACCGATATCTGTTAATGAAGATTCCACATGCAACATACGGAACGGCAGTGAACTGGCGGAACTTCTTGTGCAAACAAAGATGATAATATGGGACGAAGCCCCAATGATGCATAAATTCTGCTTTGAAGCATTGGATCGAACTTTGCGGGATTTGATGCGGTTGGTAAATCCAAGGAGTTCTGATATGACATTCGGTGGTAAGACAGTTGTTCTGGGTGGCGATTTCAGGCAAATTCTACCAGTAATTCCAAAGGGTACTAGACCGGATATAGTTCGAGCGAGCATTAGCTCATCCTATCTATGGCAATCCTGTAAAGTCCTGAGGCTAACTAAGAATCTACGCTTGAAAACTGTTGAATATGAATCCGAGTGCAAGGAGATTGAGGAATTTGCAAAATGGATAGCTAATATAGGTGACGGAATTATTGGGTGTCAACTTGAGGGGGACTCAGAGATTACTATTCCAGAAGATTTGTTGTTAAAGTGCGAAGATGACCCTATTGCTACAATCGTTGATAGCACTTTCCCCAATTTGCGAATGGGAATTGCCGATTTGTCATATCTCAATCATAGTGCAATTTTAGCTCCAACATTGGATGTGGTGGATGCCGTTAACCAATACATGAATGACCATAATCCTTCTGAGGGTAAGACATACCTGAGTTGTGATTCTGTGTGTAAGTCAGATGCCAATGTGGACATGTTAGCGGATTTGCACACTCCGGAATTCTTGAATGCCTTGAGATGTTCTGGAGTACCAAATCATGCTTTGACATTGAAAGTTGGATCACCTGTTATGCTGTTGCGAAATATTGATCACACATTAGGATTATGCAACGGTACAAGGTTGATTGTTACAAGGTTGGGTGACCATGTGTTGGAAGGCCAAATCATGTGCGGTACAAATGCAGGAACTAGAGTATTGATTCCTAGAATGTCTCTTACACCGTCAGATACCAGATTGCCTTTCAAATTTCAACGAAAGCAATTTCCCTTGATGCTATCCTATGCTATGACAATCAACAAAAGTCAAGGACAAACGCTTGCTAAAGTTGGGTTGTTGTTGAAAAAACCGGTCTTTAACCATGGACAACTATACGTAGCTGTTTCAAGAGTTAGTAACCCCAGGGGTTTGAAAATTTTGATTTGCGGTGAAAGTGTACCATGTCTTAGTACGACTAAAAATGTTGTGTACAAAGAAGTTTTCAATAATGTATAATAACAATTAACAATTTCTTTCAATAATACGTTTCTTATTATGTTTCTTATTCTTATTATATTATACCTCATACTGTTATGTACTATATACGTAGAGTCCCTTAATGTATAATAAAATTACTATTTTCATCAATGTCTAATAAAATCACAACTTTTCATTTCACACTGTATTCAGATAATAACTATATTCTATACTGTATATATATCATACTATTAGGCATTCAAACTATATATTGGTTCATCTAATTATATTATACTGTATATATATCATAATATATATATAGCCGCGCATCGCGCGGGTGCACCTACTAGTTATCTCAAAAGGATGGAAATTTTCATTTTGACATAACATTTTTTTTGTTTGTAAAATACTAAAATGCAAGTGGCTTGTAAGTTTGTAACAAAAGCTTACGGTCACTTTTCAATTGTATTTTACGAGTAAAATGAATGGATTGCAAATATAATATGATCATATTAACATATTTGAAATTTATCAATGTATTCAAAGTAGATTCTATGATTATATCTGTTGAAAATTTTAGCTAAAATGGCTTTTTTAAGGGGCTATTTTGTGGTATAAATATATGTGGGTCTGCTTCCTATTTGTGTCAGGTCAAAATAAATTCAGATTCTTCGTAGTGAG